TGATTAAACAACGAAAAAGTATAAAAGTAAAGAATCTAATATTACTGACGTGTGGTGAATTGGCATAAAATTAATGTGCTCTGAATATTTTAAATGTTTTGTTAGCTATAGTTTATGTACAAAAAAGAAAAGATAGTTTGCGGTTATTCGATCATTATAGTCTCAGTAAAACTGACAAAACCATAGCCAAACGAAAAATGACTAAAAGATAAACAACAGTTTCAAAACACAAAATAGAAAACTTTAGAGTAGGCAAGGCGAAAAGCACCAATAAAAAACGGAAATTAAACTAGGGGTTCCTGGATACACTACCAGCAGCTCCAAAATGTAACTGATATAGAAGAAGTGACTATTTTCTTCATTCCTTAAAGGATAAGATAATAGTATGATACACTGATATATGTCATCAAATTTGTGAGGCTAATAATCCTTTCTCGATGTTTTCTAGATATCTTTTATTCTTCTATAACTTTTTTCTCCTCTCTGGGTATTGTTGATAATGCATAGGAAGTGAACCAACAAAATTGCTCAATGTTTCCCTTGTCGGAAAATAATAGGATGAAGAGATAGGAGGAATTTCATTCTATATCTTCAAAGCTTTATCAAGGATAATATTTGATTTTGCTTAGATGTCATGTCAACTGTCCAAAAAGAAAGACGCGATATGACTGATATACTGACTATAAAAATAAAAATAAGGAGATGTAGAATGATTACAAATGAGACAACTATCCATCCACAAGAGTTCAATTGACGGAGATATACTCAATCAAAGATCACCGTACGGCCTTCAACAACGAGAAAAAACGTATAGTCAGCTAAAGAAGACCTTGACTTGGGAGAAGCACATTAAGAGTGTGGTCGCTTTATTTTTCCAATCATATTCCTTGGCGAGTGTTCCTCAATTTATCTCACATTTATGAAAAGTTTATTACGATTTTGAAATATTTGCCGCTGAAAACTAATTTAATCTATCTGCCAATGGTATTAAAGTTTATTGTATCCTGACACTTATTCAACCTTTTTAGATCAATTATTTTTAATATCATATAACTTTTAAACGTGCGTCTTGTAATGACTTGATGACCACACTATAAGCGTATCACATTTTGTTTTTCAAGTTTGGCTTTACACTAACCCGAATAATTCAGTCCCACCCCGTGATCGACTCTCCCACTCGCGATGTTAATGTAGCCATCGTAGAGCAGTGGAATATAACGACTGAATTATTCGGGTTAGCTTTACACGGTAAATCTTCCTTTACATTTATCCAATTAAATAACACATTACGATATTTAAACCTGAGATTAGTATAATGTTTTTCCCTTATCCTGCTGATAACGAATACGATGATTCGAACACACATCTGTTTTATCCTTATACTAAACGCGTTATAAATATTTAGTGTAAAACGCAGTGGGAAAAAACTAGCAAAATTAAGATGTTTTAAAAATCTGTCAATGCATTGATGTACAAATATAAATGAACACACACGATATTATTTTGGAACTAGTTTTTGGTGGGTAGATAAATTTTTTCTCTATAACAATATAATGAGTTTATTGCCGATCAGTGATGCAACAAAAGTGTACAAAGATAAGAGGAAAATACGATTACTGTCTGTTAAGTTTTTCACTGAGGGGAGGATAGCTCCGACAACAGATAACATTTTTAGCTCACCGTTCCGAAGGAACGGTGAGCTTTTGCCATCACTTGACGTCCGTCGTCGTCCGTCTGGTGTAAACTATATTTCAAACATTTTCTCCTCTGAAACTACTGAACCAATTCCAACCAAACTTAAGCTGAATGATGCTTGGGTAGCAATACACAGTTAGGAAAAAAAACTTAAAATTGACACTCATAATTTTTAACCACCTTTTTTCCCTTCCTTTTTAACAAATAAAACTTTATATTTGTGTTATGCATGTGTGTATTTATGGAAAGAGCATCTTCCATAGATTTTATTTCAAATAGTTATAATGGTGAAATATAATCTCTTTTTGGTGTAACCATGGCAACAATCTGCATTTATTTGATACAAAATATTGCAAAAAGGGGGGTGAACATGCCACAAAAGACTCAAAATTTTGGCCCAAAGGAAAATTTCAATCCATTAGTGTGATACCTTTCCTGAAACCATACATATATATCTATCAAAAGGTAACAAAAAAAACATATGCATTTCTGCTCGTTTTTCCATAAAATTGAATTGAAAAGATCGAGGGTAAAATCTTTGTTGAAAATACTACATTAATTTCTGGACCTATGGGCGGTAAGGGTGTGAAAATACGGACTGTCAAACAGACAAATGGCCTATAAAACATGTTAAAAACAATCTAAATGTTCATATAAACCCACTTGGAAGGCTATATTATTCTTCAACTATCTAAAAATCAATTTTATTGTACAAAAATTAACTTTCATATTTAAAAAATTCACCTTGGCCAAAATGCGAAACTAAACTTCTAACTGTGTATTGCTACCTTAGGGTATCTAGAATAAAGTTCGTGTTTTATTTACTGTTTCGTCAAATAACATGGCCGCTAAACATTGCTAAAAATAGAACATAGGGGTAAAAAAGCAGTTTTTGGCTTATATCTCAAAAACCAAAACATTTAGAGCAAATCTGACATGGGGGTTAAAGTGTTCATTAGGTGAAGTTCTATCAGCCCTGAAATTTTCAGTTGAATCTGATAACCCATTGTTGGGTTGCTGCCACTAAATTGATAATTTTAAGGAAATTTTGCAGTTTTTGGTTATTATCTTGAATATTATTAATGATAAAGATAAACTGTGAACAGCAAAAATGCTCAGCAAGGTAAGATCTACAAATAAGTTCCATGATCGAAATTGTCAATTGACCCCTTAAGGAGTTATTGCCCTTTAAGGACAATTTTACACAATTTGTTTATCATGTTTTCAAACTTTAAAAAATCTTCCTTTCTGAAACTACTGAACCAATTCCAACCAAACTTAGGCTGAATGATTCTAAGGGTATCTAGAATAAAGTTTGTGTTTTATTTTCTGTTTCGTAAAAAAACATGGCCGCCATGGCTAAAATAGAACGTAGGGGTAAAATGCAATTTTTTGCTTATATCTCAAAAACCAAAGCATAAAGAGCTAATCTGATCCGAGGTAAAAATGTTTATTAGGCCAAGCTCTGTCAGCCCTGAAATTTTCAGATGAATCTAACACCCATTGTTGGATTGCTGCCATTTAATTGGTAATTTTAAGGAAATTTTGCAGATTTTGGTTATTATCTTGAATATTATTAATGATAAAGATAAACTGTAAACAGCAAAAATGTTCAGCAAAGTAAGATCTACAAATAAGTTCGATGACCAAAATTGTCGATTGTCCCCTTAAGGAGTTATTGCCCTTTAAAATAATTTTTTAACAATTTGTTCATTTAGTTTGCTTACTTTAAAAAATCTTCTCCTTTGAAACTGCTGAATCAATTTCAGCCAAACTTGGGCTGAATGAGTTTCAGAGTATCTAGTATAAATTTTGTATTTTATTTCTTGTACGTCAAGAAACATAGCCACTATGGCTAAAATGAAACATAGGGGTAAAATGCATTTCTTTGATTTTGTAGAAGATATGACAGATACAAAGAACATTTCAATGGAAGTTTTAAGCCATTCATTAATATATATTGAAAAGCAAAAATAATCATTGATGAAAGATTTAAGCAAAACATTACAGGTGAGCGATTCAGGCTCTTGAGAGCCTCTTGTTATATGAATTTTCACTCTTCAGTATTGCACATCAATGTTTCAATTTTGTTGCCACAAAAAAACAAAAAGTATGGATTCCACTAGTATTTCTCTACTTTGAACAGTTAAGTATATAGGCTGCATATATGACCAACTTACCATGTGCATTTTAACGTTCAGAGAGACATTTTTCTCTACAAATAATTATTTGGAAAAAGATCACTTGTATACATGTACCTTATTTATTATTTGTTTGAAGACGAATGTATCAAGTATTGACCTGTAGAGATAATTTTGACATAAAAATTCCTAAAAGTTGTCTTGAAAGTTTGTAGGATTGTACAACTGACCTTTCAAAGGTCATCTAGCAGTTGTTATACAGACATGGCTTCACTCCTGACTACACAAAGTCGTGCTATTAACATTTTCTTTCAAAAATCCACCAAATACAAAAAAAAATCTGAAAAAATTTTCATTATTGCAACCTATAAACCAACATGGCTATTACAATGTCGCAAACAAATTTGGATGGGATCTGTTTTTGCCAGTTGTGAAGTAGGTTTATCACTAGTGTCATAGGAATATTGAGCAAATTTATCGCGCCGAAAAACCGACCAGCATTAAGGAAGTTATCTTCCAACGGAAATGGATTAGTTTAATCATTATAATTTATATTGAAGAATATAAATTGTGCGTGTGTATATGTGTAAAACTTAAATAGGTCGTTTAAGGTTTGATTGTATTCTTGCTGGGCCAATAAAATGACTTGCTATCTAGGTTTGACGATATTTTTAGGGACAAGTACATCTTTTAAATCTGACAATATTTTCAAATATATATATAGTGACTCTTTTTTTCGTATGGATAAATCTATTTTTTCCATTACTGTATACGACCTGGCCATTATCCATTCTTTCAGTCTGTTGTTGTAACATAACTATTAACATTAACATCACTTGTCACCGATTCAAACGTTTGTTTTCAAGAAATATCTACCGTTTATGACAACATTTTATATGGTACCGTGGTCTTTGTCTCATTGGCAATGCTATCGCATTTCCTTTATATTTGCATAGTGAAACTATTTAAACAGTGTAATGGTACTGTATTACATTTGGATAGTATCAATAAGACGTACACATACATAATACATGTAGAATGATTTGTGAAGTGAAATGTCGTATTAAACCATCGATTTAAATTATGGTAAAATGTATAAGAAATATCATATACATGTATGCTATGAAAATGCATGTGCTTGTACATATAGAAAACGCAATTCAATCGATTAAAACAAAAGAACCATTAATTTTATAGGTTATAAATAATCCACAAAACATATGTACAACTGAATTGAAATTTCGTATCATGGTGCTGTGTTACAAAAAATGACTGTTTTCTTCTAAGCATTGCAAAGTGCTTGACGTTAACTAATATTGAAAAGCGGTAAACTTCATTAGGACGTGACGTGAACACCATTTTGACGTGATGTTATGTCATACAAATAACGTTATTTAAAAAATAAACCTCTTGACTTTATATCTTAGTAAATCTTTAATTATGCAAAGTAACATGCTGTTTTATAACTATATACTGTTTATGTTATTTTATACTGAATTGATCCCGTTTCTGGACAGTGTTTTGAAGTTTCGGTCCGCACTAAGAAGGTTAACCCTCCAAATTCGGATAATATTGCATTAAAATCGAGTTTTGAGATAGGTGTTGTTTTATTGTCTTTTCTATTGCATTATTCACACATTTACTGATTTCAGTATATAAACATCGCGACTCCTTAGTTACGAAATGTCAACAGTGGATTTGACGGTAGCTTGCGAGAAAAAAATGTAAATTCAAAATGGCAAATTTTGGGTTTGAGAATTAAAAGAATTAAACACATTTTTTCTAGTGGTTATTTAAGAAATAATTCATACAAGCTATAGATTTATTAGATTTTTTTAGCTTTATCTAACAGGGGGTAAAATAGAGCAGTCACACACACGGTATATCCACCCTCGCTTCAGTTTTTTAATGACCGTATAAATTTGTCCTATTAGAATCGAAATAATTCATGGAAGCCATAGATTTGTTGGAAATTCACACATGGCCTAGGCCGTGATATTCGCTAGTTTTATCCCTCGCTAACGCTCAGGATAGAATTCGAATATCACGGTCCAGGCCATGTGTAAATTTCCAACAAATCTATGGCTTCCATGAATTATTCCTTAACTGTATGCATCATACAAATGTTAAAAAGTCTATGTTTATTTTTCTTTCTATCAAATATACCTTGTTCAATGCTTACTTGGTTTTTTTGTAATAAATCTAAAATGGAAAAAAGCAGAATATTACAGTTATGAGAGTATATTTGATTAAGATAGTAAAAGTCATCGATAGGTATCGAATTCATGAAGACATTTCAATCTATATTTAAATAGAGTTCGCACTGTCAGGAAGTTCCACTTTACGTTCTCTTTGTTCGTATATGTCGGTACAAATACTGCGTTATTCTGTATTTGCATCGTGCATATTCTCTAGGTATCGATTGTTGGTGGTTTTCCCTTTTGATTATGTTTCTGCTATAAAGTCTATATATCTTATCATACAGACATAAGACTTTTTTTATTCTATAAATAGAAACCGTATTATTTACCAATTAACGGAATCGAACAAATCCTTGTTTTTTTCATATTTTGAACCCAGAGAACATAGAACAAGGGTTATTAGACCAGTCATCTCGCAAATTTTTGCCGTCACTTCCTTGAACAGCAATCCAAGCTTTCTCTCCTGTTACCATTTTGACGATAATATTAACTGTCCCTGACATGGAGTCGGATACAGAATCGCTGTCGACAACATTGGAAGCAATTATCCGTCCATTAACCAACAAATTACTTGTAAAGTCCCTCTTTTCTCTTGACACTGTTGTCCAAGAAAAGTGGTATAAGCCATCTTCTAAGCACGTGAATTTGCCTGTTGATCCATCATAAGCGTTGCCTTCATCCAGATCCACTTTGTCAAATGTCACCACAGTTCCTGACGACAGGTCGTTCTTTTCGGAACTCAGAGTAGCAAAAAATGCATACTTTTTGTGACCTAGAATGAATAAGTGATTTGAAACTATTTTACAGGATGTTATACTGAATTTGTTATATTTTACAGAGTAATGTGTTTAACATTCACTAATTAGAAGAGAAAAAATAATTTAATTCATATTTTTCATTATTATATATCATTGACATATGAAATCTGAGACTAAAGCTGTGATGTAATTGTTAATACTACTAATTTGGCACAATAACATTTTTAAAATACCGATTTACTAGTTTTCATTTAATGTTAGAAATGGAGATGGATATTTGTATAAGTTTTAAATGTTGAAAATGAAATCCATCTAATACAATATTGTATACTAGTATGTAAAATAAATTTTGATGAGAGAAAGCGAATATAGTCAACAAGTACAAATTTTAAGGAAACAAATTTGTCCGCTAAAATGACAGTAGAGAAAATAGATAAAAATTAGCTCAGTATTAAAAGATGCTTGATAAGGACATTTATCATAAAGTATGTGGTTTTTATTCCAAAATGACAAATAACTATATAAGTCGGAACGACGCAAATGCCAAGGCATTATTGTAAAATAAAATCAGTTGCTATTCCAGCTCGAGAACTACTGCAGTTACAAAAATTGTCGGGACAAGAACAATTTTCGTGAAATTTTCTTAGTTCAGGGCCCGTCATTCTATCAAACGTTGGCCAATTAGAACGAAACGCAAACTCGATCTGCATTATAAAAAGTTTTAAAAATCCGGTCGACTGTTTGATTTCAGAACAAATGAAGGAAGACGGAATGACGGAAGACGGAATGACGGAAGACAGAATGGCTGAAAAACGGAATGATGAACATAAGTAATAATACTTTCCGGGGAACAGAGAAAGGAGACCTTTAGAGGAAAATAAGGCATGTAATGTTATTATGATTGCTGTATTGTAAGATTGGACAAACACAAAACTCTTTCAAAGAGTGTATGTTTTATTTGTTCTTCCGTACGTCTTTACATCGTTTCAATCAACAGATCTTACGAAAAGACACATTGCCAAGGTGCAATTAAAGCCAAAGATGACAAATGACATCATGGTCAAAGAAGATAAAAGTCCCGTAAAGATGACGTGTTATGCACCTTACCAAAAACAGAGGCGTATTTATGTGTTTTTTCGACGGGTAAGTATGTAGTGGCATCTGTCGTTTTGCTCATAACAAGTAATATTCAGTTTATATCACATGTGGTTTGATTTTTCTTGTTAATTTCTCATTGGTTTATTTGGTCACGTGTTTTCAAATATATTTTTTGTATTTTTTTCACTATTTTGACATATTGACTCGACGTTACTATTTTAAATTGATATTGACTCCATGTTCCTAAAAATAGTAACAAAGAATCAATATCATTTCCAAAAATAGTAAACTTACACTATTTACATATGTAATATATAAATTAAGGTAGATCATAAGTATATAATTTTTGAGATAGAATTTTCTTATACTTTGCCAAAAGGAAGATTTTACTATGCTTTTTTCTAAAATATAATAAAAAGTATGGGTCACCGTGCTATTTTCCAAGCTATGAGTCGTTAAAAATTGCCTAAATTTGGTTAGATTGTTCATGAAAAAACACATTTGTGTGCATAAAAAAAATTCTATGAGATAGAATTTTGAAATAAATTGTAAGAAGATAGGTTTTATAATATGTTTTAAAAAAATAAAAAGATAAATTGGTGTCACCGAACTTGTCTTCTTGCTACAAGTAAAAATAAAAAATTTCCCTATCAGTCCAGTATATATTTTTTACTAAAAGAGTTATCTCCCCTTAAATGGCTTTTTTGAAAAAAATGATTCTAAAAAAAAACACAAAATTTGACAATTGTTTAAATATTTTGAATAGTACAATAAATCACCAAGTTTTCTTTATATAAATAATCAATCTAACCATTAAATTGCAAATCTGTCTCCAAATTTGCAGATTTGGGCAAATAACTAGACCAATTTTGTACTGAGATTGTACAATCCAAGATGGCGGTATACCATGAATCTACCTTAAGGACGTTCACTCAGTCAATACGTTATATAGGGACCTGTTAGATTATAATGAACCTCGGACTTCGTCCTCGGTCAAATTAATCTGAACTGGTATAAATATAACGTATTGACCTCGTCAAAAGTCCATAGTTGATAAATAATTCGCATTCGATGATGTCGTAAACGATGAAAGGATGAAAAGTGCCTGCTCCAACAAATAAAATACATAGGTGATAATCTGTGACATAGATATTCCTTTAAGATGGACCAAATCAGGATGGCGACTGAAAACATTCGAAGAGTTTACTAAAACTTTACCATAAAGAACACTTAGTTAATTAGTTTTATTGAAAGCAGTTAGCCTTTAATTTGTCAGTTAAATTCTAGTAGGAAACGCAAACCAAGGAATATCCTTTCATTTAGGAGATGCATAATCATTATATGATAATGCATATGAAGATGCTGCTGAAACATATCAACAACAAAAATAACAATCCACAGTGGAAAAATTAAAAGCCTCCAATCTTGCCACAATGTTAACCTCCAACTGACATTCGCTGTTTTTAAAAGTAAGATCTTCATTTGTTTCGAGCATTTTACGAGTATAACAAAAAAAGAATTAAAAGAACAGTGCTTTATTACAGTCTAGTACTAATGTATTTGTTGATATTGTTGAGAATAAGGTCCAGTACATGCAGGTATACTTCAGTAGGTTTGACAGAGATGTCACGTCATACCGAGTTCTGTTTAAAATCTAATACAAAATGATGGTGTATTGTCTAGTAAAAATAATATCTATTTTGAACTCTTGCTGCTTTGAAACCGTAAAAAGTCACACAGTGTTTAAACTAGAAGATTTATACAGACAAATATAGGGAGCAAAATAACCAATGTTATGATAGGTCGAGGCGAACATTACCTAGGATTGTGTGTTTTTTTAAACAATATTCTCAAAATAGATGTATAAAGAGGAAACTGTAGTTTTCCGATGTTCAAATCTCAAAGTCATTTAAAATATACAAATTACGTAATATATAAACATATCAGTGTTTGAGTCGAGTTACAGTTTTGATTGTACATTTTTAAATCAAAATTGTTCATATGAATATATGAACTTTTTGTCATAACGTCAAAAAAGAATTATTTTAGCTGAGTGACAATTGTAAAGAAATGCACAGATTTTTAGATTCGATAACCATGCATGGGCGTTATCTAAAACTAAAAGAATTTGATTTTTTACTTGAATAATTTCAGATTTCAAAAGTAGTCCTCGTGTAAATATTCCTTTATATTCTCAATTCACTTAAATGAATGCATTTTTTTTTTTTTTTTTTTTTAGTTCAGTAGACATCTTATTTTGGTTTAATTTTGGATGAAGTATATATAATTTTGGTGAATATGTAAATCACTCCTTTATGTACCTTTCCTTTAGTTTTTCAATTTTGTTGCCATGGATTAAGGTATTCTGAATCATTGTAAAAATAGCAATATAAATGGGGATATAAATGGCAATATAAAAGGGGATATTCATAGTTAGAACAACGTTTATATTTAAGACTGGAAGATATTAAGTTTAATCCAATGTATTTAAAACAACATTCGACCTAGAAGTTAAGTATACATAAAACACACCAGAAGTGTACATTTAAAGCCCTTGTAAAAAAGTAAAAATCATTGCAATCGATAGTGTGACATGAAGAGCCATAATTAACTAATATCACTCGTGACAATTTATAGTGTGATATATTTTAGTTGAATCTCTTCCGTTCACTGTAACTTTTTTAACGTACATATTTAATTTGTCCATATAATTGAGTATCTGCAGATATGTTACAAGTGGTTTTGGTCTTATAAAACAAGATAGTTACTTTTACAAACTACGAGGTGAATAATGTAACTCTTTGCATATTATTGTACAAACAGTTTAAGAAGAAATGAGTGACATACTCAGAACTTACCTTTTATGCTATCCTGAATATTTGATATGGCTTCTTCCATCTTAGTATTCACGGAACTTTCTAAAGTTCTGTTCAACACAACTGCAATTCTCGCTTCTACTTCTTTTTGAATATACAGGTTAATAGCCTCGTTAAGATCCGTCACGTCCAGATCAGCTTTCAGTGTCGCTTTCATACCATCTATAAGCGGCATTGAAATCGTACTACGACATTGCACCCCGTTACAGGAGTTCCTTTCTTCAACGGCATCAACAGTATCTATAAGTAGTGTGGTCACAAGACAATAAAATGTTACAGGTCTTAGACTCATTTTCAGATAATATTTCAGGAGAACCGTCGCTTTTCACTGAGTCTCTCCTAAGTAGATCCTTATTGTATTTGCGACTAGAAAACATAAACGTGTAAATTACATCATCATGGTTTGTTAAAAGTTGCGTTATTAGATTATATAAAAACGTGTCTGTTCGATTACATATATATAGATATATAATAATGTGCATCCAAGAGTCCTGATTAAGAGAAGTCATCCGGAGAAAATAATTTAGAAAAATCAACCGTTTGATAAAGGACAGGCAGCATATTGTTGCAGTGAATATTTAAAGCATATAAAGAAGCGCTTCAGACGCATGGAATTTATAAAGTGTTTTATAACATTTGGTCGATATGTCAATATATCTTAACGGAAGTTTATCTGGAAACATTGTTATAAACAATGCTATAAAATCCATCTGTTCCTGTTGGAACAAATATTATATACCCTTTATTCTGTCAGGTACAGATACTGTAATATTCATTCTAGTGGAAACAATATTCCTTCCATTTGGATCTTATATTATGAAGGAACTTCTATTCCATGACAGATCCCGCTGCTGCTGAACTATCAGTCCTTTATGGTTTTATCAGCTCAGTACTTCGGTACTGACATGTTTTATAACAAACCTTTCTTCAATTATCCGTTTATAAGTTAATAAACTATTAAGTAACTAAGGTTTTAACTCCCTCAAGCAAAGTTGACCATATATTAATTTGGCTATTATTTTAGATTTTTTTTTTTTATCGTATAGCTCTTCATTTGCTTCGGTTTTATCTGAAGCGCAAGATAAAACCAGCTATATCGCAATAGTAAGCATGCGTCCCCCTTCGTCATCTTCAACAGTCATAGTAATGTTAGAAATTATTATCTAGTAGACGCACATGGTTTTACTGTTTTCATTTCAATATTTGTTTGTTAGTACCAAGACCTGGTTTGGAAGAGAGTGGTTTTGGTAAAGTACCTTTAGATTTATTAATAAAATAGAATTAAGAAGCATTTTTCACAAAACAATTGAAATTTATAAAGTGAAAGAAAACAGAACGTAGCACACATTGACCAGTTGAGCAATGTTTAAGACCACATAAAACCTATAAAATTGATGCCTATTTTTTTAGGGAAAAAACGAAAACAAACTATTTACCTATTTTTCTTTGTTAATATTATATTAACTATTGCAAATTTGCCATAACCAACACAACTTACCATGAATTGACACGAATTGCTTTACTCACTGTCCTTAAAAATGAATAAAAATGAAAATACAAAATGTCAGTAAAATTTTTTATCTACACTAAACATCAGTTGATAATGAACAATATAACATTACATGCAGGTTATCGTTTCTAAATCCAACATTTCTTGAAAATATATAAATATTGATAAGTCGTTACTTTTCAAATTATAGTGTAGTTTTTCAAATGCTTTACTATTTCTCTAAACCTAGAATCTAAAAATACTAAAATTCTTGGTTTAGAGAAATAGTAAAGCATATGAAAAACTACACTATAATTTGAAAAGTAACGACTTATCAATATTTATATATTTTCACTTGAAATGTTGGATTTAGAAACGATCTTTTTACTTTTTTGCCATGGCGTTGTTAGTTTATTTTCGACTTATGAGTTGAAATGTCCCTTTGGTATCTTTTGCCTCTTTTTTTAAGGTGAGAGGTAAAAAGAGAGGCGAAAGATACCAACGGGACATTTCAACTTATAAGTCGAAAATAAACTAACAACGCCATGGCAAAAAAGTAAAAAGATCAGAAGACAAACAACAGTACACAAAACACGACGTATAAAAGCTGGTGGTGATCTCAGGAGCTCCGGAAGGGTAAGCAGATCGTGCTCCACATGTGACACCCGTCGTGTTACTCTATAAAATAATTTGATAAGTTATATCAAGTGATGAGACATCACGCAATAGCGGATTGGTAATCGACTCTTATCTAACCGTAAGACATCACCAAATTCTAGACCATCGGTCATGTAAAATTTTCTAACCCTGAAGGTTTTGCAGATCCTGCTCCACGTGTGGCACCCATCGTGTTGCTCATATAAGTACATACCCGGTGATAAGTCTAATACGGTAGGTCACATTCGGAGAAAAGAGGACGTGTTTACTACAATTGGAACATATCCGTCGTCATCTGTGAAACAGATATTCCATAACCGTCAACCGACTCGTGATGGCGTCCGTAAAATAAACGAAAGTATGAGTTCAACTTCACCACTTGAAACTCCTGGTTTAATAGCTTCCTTGTGAGCAGCAACCCTTTATCACGGAAATAATGATAGGAAATACAAGCCCTGGAATATCGTATCAATTGGAAGATATATACTCCATATGCAGGCGCTGCTTGAATGTGTCTTTGAAGTGTTTTTTTTTAGAAATTGCTAACTCACACACATACACACACACGTTAATGGCGCACTCCATTCTTGTTATGAAGTTTTTTAAAAAGTCAACACTGAGCAGTTGTGACTTAATAAGAAAAAGCGGTTGCTAAGATCTCACATCGGGTAACAAAAATGCCTTGTGCAAATTCAAGGAACCAAAAAAGTGGTTTAATCATTCATTTATTCATTCATTTTTTATGTTTTCTATCAATACGTTCAAATTACAATTAATAATATAGCAGCGATTAACCTTTTTTTAAATAATACCATACGTTAATATCTGGTGCAGACAAATTGGTACCGTTAATGTTATTATAACAATGTGCAAAGTTACTGAATTGGCTTGCATTATACATAGTATTACAATAGAACAGAATAGTAAGTAAATTCAATTAATACACCATTTAACAACACATACATGTACATACATAAATATATTGTTCTATGAAATGATTGTATTTAAAGTCGTTCTTTATTTTTCATTTTTATAGAGTTTTACATGTTTGACAGCCGTTTGAGTAATGAGAGAGTTGTTAAATGAAAGTAAATGATAAAGTTTTTCTCAAAGTATTAAGACTCCGAGCGATTTAGAGCATGACTTTTTGTATAGAAACCGGTCAATTGTGGACTGTATGCTTCTAGACAAGCTACTTGTCGTGTGATTTAATTATCTTGAAACATTGTCGGGGTATTTTTTACAGTGGAGTCGTCTTCCTTTTACCATGTAGAAAACAGCCGAGTTCGTTCGTTAGTCTGTTTTAGTAGCCTTTGATAAAGAAAGTTATAGAGACTTTATGTACAAGTATCAGTTGCTTCGTTTTAAATGGATAACATTCATAAGTTTATGCTATCACTTAATCGTTAACGTTGCTAGTCCCTAACCTATACGTTTCACCTATGATAAAATGAGTTAAGTCTTTCGATGCCGGCACTTGGATAACATTACACTTTAACTTTGTGTTAGCTTTTTTCAATCTTTGCTGAGAATAAAGTAGCAATTAAAGTTTGGACAGACAAAACGACTTTTCCTTTGGTGTTATTAATTTTCTTAGCATGTTTACGTTTATCAGTCGGTTCTATATTCGTGTTTGCAGTATTTCAGTTACATCATGAACTGGACAAAATAAAATACTACATTTTATCACATATAAAGGTTCGGTTTTAATTGTATAAATTTAAAGATTGTTATAGTTAAATGACAATACATTGATATGATTCATTTTACATCATAATCATACAGATGAAGGATATCTGTTATCTGAAATATTTATGGATACTTACATTTAATGTTTTATATTTTTAGACATTTTATATATATATATAGAAAAAAGTCAAATAGAATCCGTATGCTGGTAACATATAAGAAAATTAATATAAGATAATGACGGTTTCAATTCATCACTTTTACTGAATAGTAAAAGTAAAAGTGATGAATTGAAACCGTCATTATCTTATATTAATTTTCTTATATATATATAATACTCTAAATATCAGCACAACAATGTTAGATCTGCAAATTATAGTGGAGTGGCAAGTAAATGTTTGAGTATTCGGTAATTGTTGGCAAGTCAGACATCGTCTGTTATCACACGACTTGCACCATCCTGCAGGAGATATCGAGACAACACCGTCTGCACTGTGTCCAGCGCTCTAAACCACTCGGCCACCTAGACTGATCTAGTCTTATCTATATATATATAGATTTATTGTGAAAATATTATTCCACTAGAAGGACGTAAATACAAATGTACAACCCTACAGTCCGTGTCATTCCATAGTTAACCATAACACTCATTGATATCAAAAAATGGAATTGGAGGGGCAAAGGTACATCATGTGAGTATGATTCTGCAAAATTCTGTCAAGTGGTTCGGAAGCAGTGGCGAAAACGCAAGAGGAACAGAAGAACAAACGAACTGCCGAACAGACGATCGGACTATATCTCATTTTATATAGCGGGATATAATAACACAGAACTGCCAGTGTGATAAAGCAGAATATTATCCCTCATAAACAGAGCCAAATTTGACAATGTTTCTCGGGGAACAAAGCTGATCTAAAAATCCTCTCAGGTTTACCATATAATTATGTTTTATATACAAAATGTTAGATATATAGTTTCTGAAATATAATTATATCAATGTACAATGTGAAATTGTTTTAAGGTTAATATCTTTACGTAAAACAGAACTGCTGGCTTATTATTTGATAAAAAGAAACATCATCTAAATTATGATATATTGCAAATGTTTATGGGTGATTTTAAACAGCCTTCTTACGTATCATCTGTTTGAAGTTTATATCATTAACACAAAATTAACTATCCTATATAATATCTTATGTTGCATTTGAAGTAAAATAATCTGATACAAAGATTATTCTGTTTATTCGTGTGCTATCAATTACCAACAAGTTCTATCATAACCAATTTAAATTATAAGTATTCTCAGAATTACATACAATTGCTGGAACCGCACTTCATGTTTTAAATGTTGTTCACTACGTAGAAAGAGATGCGTCCATAAAATGAAGATATCTTGCGTATTAATTAACATGGGAACGGAGTGCTTGGATTTTTAATGTAACGTTTGACTGGTACAATATACCCTTATTTAAAAACAGGATGATGGTAGATCTTGCCAAAGTCTGGATTTAATTCATTTCACGGCTTGGAACAATTTAGAGCTTGGCAT